AGTTTAGCAAGGGTGCCAGTAGAGAGAGGTTTCAAGTTCCTCCAAAGAAAGCCTCAGCAGCACTCTACATTTAAATGAGTTGATGAGGACCCCAAGGATTATGATTTCTGTTTAGGAGATGTGGAATGAGATGGAAGAAAAAAATTGCTGGTAGGAGAACTAACGTTGTTTTTCAGTTTAGATTTTGCTCCATGTTCAGCTGTGCCTTTCTGACTTTGACTGTACTCCGTTGCCTACTTTTTATGACTGAGGCTGATCATTATTATTTGAATTGAATTCTCACTATTTTATTATTAGACTATGCCTGACATTCTGGGGAAACCAAAGTAACTGCTTCTGACAGGACTTTAAACTGTATTTGAATAATGCAATTCTGGCTTATAAATAGCTTTCAAACAGATTACTCTTCTGCTTTGGTAAATAAAATTACTCTTATTAATGTTCATATCAGTTAAAACACAAAAGCAAGGATTACAATTGAAACACATTTTATTTTTATCCTTAGTTAATTTAATTTGCTGGCAAATAGTATTTTCAGTTCACTGTATGAATAATATTCTTGGTATTATCTTTGTGTTACCTTAAGTTAAATATTCATGCTTTCCATGCTGGTGTTGTTATACTGATACACTTGAAATGCCTTGGTCAGTATATAAGTTTAATTGTCCCACTTTGCTGTCATAGTTACTTGTTGCAGCAGAGAACTATTGATGACAATGCCAACACCTGTTTTGTTCACATTGAAAATTAATTTAATTCACTTCTAAGAGGGATAATTTACTTCCTCAGAATGAGAGATTCTAGCATCATAATTGACTTTCTTTCAGATAACACTCAGTGATTGAACAATCTATCCTATTCTCATTTTATTTTAGAAATATTAAAATTCTATCAACCTTACTCAGAATGTCAGCAGTTTCTAAAAATGGTGTATTACTGAGAACAGCTTGAAGTAATACGTAAAATTTTGCATCTGCTTTCACCTTTTGACTCCTAATATGTGGATTAACTTCCTGATTAATTTAATTCCTCACTTTAAATTATATCCCCATTGAAGGATTTATGAATATGTGAACCTTGCCTACATCATTGACAGATGATCAATTTATTAATATTTTATGTGTTATAAATCCAACATTGCCATATATTTCAACTTTATATAAATAAAGGTGGCATCTGCAGATGGTGCTGCTGTCAACACTTTTAGTCTTAGGGTGTTACAGTTCTGCCATAAAAGTTTGCATCGGTATAACATTGGACATCAAGTTATGTTGTATTTTTAAAATGTTCTGTGTTAATGATGATTTAGGCTGCTTACAGGCATTAAAAAAACCAAAACAAAACGCGCTTTACCGGAAAAAACAGCATGTTAGTTCGACCCAGCCCCACATTGTCTATATAAGGGTTCAGATGAAGGTGCTCCGAAGTGGAGCACTTTCATTAACATCTGTCAGCATGGCTGGGAGCAGGACTGGGCTGACGCAGCAGACACACAGCACCTTTTACTTTATCAGCGCTAATAGGAGCTGGATCACGGCCCTCCCCCCCCCGATCCAACAGCATATGTCTGTTGGATCAGGAGCGTCAGTCTAACTCATGGCACTTTCTGTGAAATATCATGAGTTAGACTAGGGAGCTGCATGTGTGTCAGCACCCAAAGGTCCTTAGGTGCTTAACTCCATTTGGAAGTTGGGAACCATGGTGGCTTATCTATAGAGCTAAATAGAGGACTTAGAGAGATTTGCGGCAGATATTTTGGAAGGTGCAGAGGTGGAAGGATAGGATAATGGAGCTGAGCAAGCAAAGAAAGGTGGCAAGAGAAAAGAAGGTGTTGCAAGATACATCAGCCAATCAGGCAAAACATATGTTGGCAACTATATGAGTTTTACAAATAAAACCAGGTTTAGGTTGGCGAGAGTATGAGCAAGTTGTTTTAAATGCTGTATGGCGGTGCAAGGAAAATGTCCTATGACAAATTGTGGCTCAAAAGTTATTGTTTTACTAGCCAATTGCCCATCATGAATGAGGGACTGCTTACATGCCCCGCCCCCCCGCCCCCCTTTTCAGGGTCAACCATGTAAACAGTCCCTCTGCTGGTGCTGCCACCGCCACCTCCTCTGGCCTCTAGCATGGCGGCTCCCTGCCTCCCGCCCATCCCCTCTCCCGAAGAAGCACACCTTCCCCCCACCTCCCCACCTGAGGCGGTGGCAGCTCCTCCCCTGGAGCAATGGCACTCCCACCTCCCTGCCTGAGGTGGTGGTGGCTCCATCCCTGCCTGCAGATGCAGAGCCACTTAGCCAATAACCACTGGCCCTCTCGGTTTAAGTTAACTCACAGTCCTCCAGCATCCCAGGATGCTTTGGAGCCCTGGGCTTTGATCTCTGATTCAGTGGAGCAGAATCTACCCCACCCCTCTGCTCCCCAGCTAGAGCACCGTTAGTTCTCTGGCTGGATGGGGGGTGGGGGGGGACATCCAGCCAGGTGCGGGGAAACCAGTCTGCCAGCCGGGTGCTGCTGGTGCAGGGAGCAGGGGGAGCCTGCAGCGGGGGCTTGACTCTGCGTCTCAGAGCCTGGAGCTGGGAGCCAGGAGCTATGCCCCCTCCTCAGCCTCCAGGCTGGCTGAGGGGAAGGGGAGCCCTCAGTGGGGGCTTGGCTCCACCCCCCAGAGCCAGGAGCCAGGAGCCCTGCCACCTCCTCAGCCTCAGGGCTACCTGAGAGGAGGCGGGGAGGGAAGCCCACAGCA